TAATTTTAAATCGCTGGGGGACTTCAAGTAAACAATTCCAGTGAAATCAGACGAAAAGCCTGGAGAAGTTTGAGAAATCAATAGATGCGTTTCCATAACAGATTTGCGCAAAACTTTTGCGATATTTTCTAAATGTCGATAAAATACTTTTGCGAAATGACGGCGTTTCTATTGCAGTTTTGCGAAATATTCCTTTTTCGAATTGCCTGAAAAACCTCCTCTTGCAGGCGTAAAAACGTGTTTGCGATAAACAGGAGTTTTTTGCGAAATTGACGTGTTTCCATTGAGCGTATTTCCATTTCGCAATTTCAATTTGCGGGTAATGGAAACGCCTAGTGACAAACCAGAATAAATTACATCTAGGCCTAAATATTTGGTGTTTCTGGCATGAAAACAAGGCTGTTCAACGTTGCAGTCGATGATTTAGCTTAACACTTAATACCTCTCTCATAAATAAAATAAAAATTGACCAATGTTATAGAATGTACTCCCTCACAGGATTTTTTTTTTTTTCATTAAATAGGCTATAGCCTATGCCATTTAACTTGATGAGGTCTATTTTGGTGGAGACTGAGCTGCCAAAAGTGCCAATAATTAGAGGGCGGAGCTTTAGATTATACAGAGCATTTGATTGGATCAAATTATATTTGGCCATATTATCATATTGGCGAAAGTGAGACTGCAAGTTTTGAACGCTTATCTTCTTAATGTGAATTTTGTCATTGTTTTGGAGCACATTAACTTAAAGATAATAGTAGTAGGACTAGCATATTCATACTTTATGCCCAAGAAATACAATCTATTGTGATTTCATGGGGACTTTAAACATGGCGGAGAGGAGAACGATTGCTGCTGCTCTGATTAAAGTTACTAGTTTTTTTCTACAACAGCTACATCGTCTTTTTGTTAAAGTATTACATATTTATAGTTATCGTGAATAATCATACGAAGCGTGTATGTATGTTTTATACTCAGCGAAAGCCTAAAATTAGACCTAAAATCGAGAATCGTTATCAAAATGATAGATCACGTGATGAATGTTTGATTGTCAGTGAATGGGACGCTAAATATCATTTGGTTAAGCTGTAGATTTTCCTAATAAATAAGCGAGAATAAGGTGTCCTCCATGATTCCTGTTCTTTCCGATAAGAAAGTATTTGAATGCAAGCTCGTACTCGCGACTCCAGGAGTGATAATTAGGGCATAATTTACTGACTTTGGAAGCGTTGATGATTCGCGTTTAGATAAGAACAATGTTGAAAGTTCAACTTACCTGAAAAACATCCGCATCTTCTGCAAATCTGCACGAGTTCAGCCTCTCCTCGTCTCCAACACGATCGTTATGAATAAAAACGTCACATTAAAGTGAAAAACCAAACATTTCTCATGAAAAGCCCAGTGTTGGACGGGTATGGTTTGGCAGGATCTAGACTCGCTGCAGCTGTTCACCCTGATGAGGTGATGATGATGATGATGAGGTAAAAACCGATAGGCCTACATTTAATACAGATCTGACTTTAATTTTAAAACTATAAAATATTTGTCTTTGAGTTACGATCTTGAATTTTTGGTGAACAATATTGTGCTGTTGGCCAATTACTTCATACACAAATGCAGATTTTTTAAGAACCCTCCCACTTTCAGTCTCTTCCATAAAGATTTAATGATCTTCTTCAAAGCTCTAAGACTGGTGCATAACAAAAAAGCCCTTAAATTATTTAATCTTCTGAAGGTTTTGTTTGATGATTCCCCCCTTATGTAATATTTTATTTATTTACTTGTTTATTTATCTGTTCTTACATGTTTTGTGTTCTAATTTTATTTTATTTATTTATTTTTTCAATTTGTGGTGTTCATGTATTTTATTTTATTTTTTTTTGTGCTGCTATTTGGACTGTTTTGTAATCATCTAAGATTTGTATCTTGATGTTTGTTGGGTTTTTGTAGGCTATATTTTTTTGAGCAATAAAAAAAAAAAAATTTAATACAGATCTTATGACCACCACTATATATAAAAAATCATAATGATTGTGTTAATTTTAATGTTAATATCCTTAAAAATACAGCAACAACCTAGACAAACAAATCGGTTATGAAAACAAGGTCATGATTTGCAATATTTCTAAAACGTTAAAATGTCCGTTATTTAAGGTTATGTTGTTAGTGCAACTTCTCCTAACCTCATTTTTATACACATTATAGCATTCTTTAAATATGTATTTGTTAAATTCCATCAAAATTATAACAAATAGAGGCTTGAAATATCGCACTTTGCATGACTGCAATGAGTCTATACTCGATATTGTATATTAGTTTCACCTTTTAAGTTGAATTACTGAAATAAATGAACTTTTGCACGATATAAATTTTTTTTTTTTAGGTTCACCTGTAGAGTGGCAGACGAGCACGCGCTTAGAATAAACAGAATGACAAAGTTATCTTTATAGTTCTTGCTGTGATCTTCTTTGCATGCACACTTGCTGTATACTATACGTCAGAGGTGGAATAAATGCATTTACACAATTACAACTGTGTGATTTGATAGCTGAGCAGCTTTAGGCATCTTTACACAGAAAATGCAGCACAGAAACCACATCTGAATTGGCAGAAAACCACGAAAATGCGTATTTAATGCTGCGTATTTTAATGCTGTTCTGAAGCAGCAGAAATGCATTTACACAGGGAAACATACCTTTTTAAAATAACTAAACTACAATTTAAAAATTAGTTTTAACAAAAACAAATGCTATAAAAATAATATAAACATTATATAACGCATTGCATATTTACACTCAATTTTAAACTGGCACATAGCCGACTAAACTTGGCTGTATGGCTGATCTGTGCCTGCTCAAAAATCAGCGTAAAGATGCAAAAAGACCAAATTATGCCTTCTCAAACCCACCCCAGTCCCTATTATCAAATTATACAGTTGAAATAACTGTGTGAATGCATTTATGCCAGCTCTGAGCAGCATTCAAGAGTCTGTGCAAAGATATGTGCCAGCTCAGCTCAGAAGCGTTTCTGTGCCACAAGTTAAGGTGGCTCTCTGTGCCTGATCAAAATTCAATGTAGAGATAATACAGCATAAAACCAGACAACCCATCTCAGACCCTACACCGCAAAGAATGTTTTTATTATTTTTGTCTCGTTTCCAGTCCAAATATCTACAAATTCTTAAATAAAGATGTCTTTATGGAAGTAGTAAAATACCATAAGATTTTATGTCTTGTTTTCTGGGAATATAAATCAAAAATAAGAGATTTTTTGCTTTAAAAAAAAAAAAGCTAAATTATCAGCCAGTGTGGTGAGAAAAATAATCTTGTTTCGGTTTCAGATTATTTAGCTTTTTTTAAAGCAACAAATCTCTTATTTTTGCATCCCAGGAAACAAGTCATATTGTATGGCATTTTATTACTTCAATAAAGACATATTTAAGTAAGAAAAGCATTTTGCAGTGTAGGATCAAACTTTACAGCTGTAAATGCATTTATGCCACTTCTAAGCTGCATCTGTGCCACATTTGCAGTGTAAATTTGTCAAAATATTATAAGAACGTTCATCAGACTTCCTCTTCTAGTTCTTCATTTTATATTTAAAATAATTTCAATGCATTTTTACATGTTCAAATTTTAAAACATGCCAGGATTGGTTTGGATTGAATATGGGATTATATAATTTTGACTCCAGATGGTGGCATTAAACTGAAATGATCCAGCTCAGAATAGTTTCTGTACAAGCTCTTGGTTCTCATCTCTCTGTTCGTTCACTAAAAGCACTCAGAAGATCACGTGGAAACAGAAGACTGATTTACTCGGACTGAGTCCTCGTGTATTTTGAGGCGATGTACATTACGGAGGATTGAGGGAACGCCTTAAAAAGGGCCTTCATTGGGGAAAGGAGATCAGCCATATCTCATTCATTTCAGTTATGAATCATTTTTGACACCACGTGGAGAGAAACGATGAGCAAGTTTGGCATCAAGAGGTAGAAAATACCAGCATGAACTCTGAGTCACTGCTCATGTTTCTGTGTTTGAGGTCAATCCGGGAACGAACCACATTACAGCATTTGATGTGAGCTCTGCAACCTCAGATTTCCTCCTGCTAACAGTGATTTCTAAAACATGTTCACCAGCAACTTTTTCATATATCTAAGGTTAGTTAAACTGTCAACAAACAATATTTTGAGCAATGGTCACCACTGACTTCCATGGTGTGGGGAAAAATACAATAGAAGTCAATGGGGTCCAACTGTGTGGTTACTGACATTCTTCAAAATATTATCTTTTGTGTTCAGCAGAGGAAAGAAACTGAGAAAATTATGACAAAAATGTTATTTTTGGGTGAACTATCCCTTTAAGCAAGACACTACAGGCAAACAAAGTTTGTAGCGTTTTTTTGTGTGTGCGATTGTTAATTTGGGGCTATTTTATTATTGGACTTTATATATTTGCAATTTTTTTAAATCAATCCATATCTTTTAAAGGCTGTGAGTTTGAGTCGGAAGCGTATTGCATTCAAATGTTTTTTTCTGAATTAATGAGTTAATTATCTCAGAACCAGATCATTTTTCATTGAAAAAAAAACAAAAGTTTTTGCTCTGTTTTTCTGAATGACTTAATTATCTCAAAATTAGTAACTCAATTCATAAAAACGGAGTGAAAATGTTGTTTTTTTCAAGAAAAATGTATCTCATAATTCTGAGATAATTAACTAAGATTTTTTTCCTCAAGTGAATGCAATACGCTTCCGTAGACTTCACACACTTCACACACACCAAATTACAATTTTGAAGGTTTGTTCATATATCATTCACCTGATTTATAGGACATTTTATTCCTAAAACATGGTGAAAATATGGCTTTTTTTCCTGGCTGTTGACAGTATGTTCTGATTTATGGAATGATTAATAGAGAAATCCAAAATCCCCTCTGTGAAATCCTTCAACAAAATCACGGAAGTTTGATTGAAGAATTGTAAAGCTGGCTTTATCCACTGTTCAGATTTCTGGAAATGGTTTATTACATAACGCATCATTTACATAACATTTCAGAAAACGTGTAATATGCAGTTCTTAAATGCAAGTAAGTATGAAGATATCCATTTGTTAATTTCTACATTTACTAACACAGTGCATGACTGTTTTTACCGCATTTTATATTGCTTTTAATTATTCTTATTTCTTTTGATTATTTAAATTTCTTCTATGTAAAGCACTTTGAATTCGCACTGTGTATGGCACATGCTAAAAATAAACTTGCCTTGCCTGATCACCAGACATGTCTCGCCTTGCTCTACGCTGATTCGTCATCCCACAAACACATTTACAACCTGTTGCAATGTTTTTATTGTTCATAAATGAACATTTCAATGTGACAATTTTGGCGTCCAGCTCAGCTAAAAGCAGTGAAAAGGGTTTGTGTGTTTGGGAACTCGCAGCGATAAAGAAGGCAGGAAAGATGCCCTGACGATTCACAAACCCTGTATGTACGTCACGTCTTCTGGTGGATCCTCAAAGCCAGCCGGTGACCAACAACAGAAAAGGACAAGTGAACGTTATGAAGAGAAGAGTGTGTTCAGGCACATCCGCAGGGATCGCCACACTTCCTCCTCCGTTCCCAAAGCGATCGCAGCTCCTGAGCCGAATGCTGCGGGGACGACAACATGTCCACAAAACACTCCTTCTCACACAGCCAGCCTGAATCCTGAACACACACACACACATCAGAACACTAAGACATAGCAACACCAATGCCATGGTTTGATTCCCACATGATGAATAAGTGGATAAAGGCATCTGGCAAAGTCAGTTTCATTCATGCATTACTAAAGGTCTACATTTGACCAGTTCACTGTAAAAAGTGTTCAGTTCACTTACTTAAAAAATAATTGTAAAACCGTTGCCTAAAAAACGTAATGCTTAATTGAAAAAATTAAGTTACGTGAGATTTTTTTGATTAAGCATCAAGTTTATTAACTTAATCACTTTAAGGCAACAGGTTTCCTCAATTTTATTAAGTTAAGTCAAATTAAACCAATTAAAACAGACTTAACTTTAAACAAAAAAAAAAAAACATAACTTAAAAAAAATTGAGATCAACAAGAGCTGTGTGTTCAGGCTCAAACGCAGAATTGAGTCATAAAAGGTAAAAATATATTATTTTAATTTCAGTTTTAGGAAATAATTTTTAGATTATGGCTTACAGCTTATGAAAACCTTTTCATTTGGGGTTTTCATAATCTGTAAGCCATAATAATCAAAATTATAACAAATAAAGGCTTGAACTATCTCACTTTGCATGTAATGAGTCTATATAATATATTAGCTTCACCTTTTAAGGTTTCACCTGTATTAATATAATTGATTACATTTAAAATCAAGGCAATGGATTTTGAAATACCAAATCATATATCTATATATACTCTCTCATTTTATATATATATATATATATATATATATATATATATATATATATTTATATATATGAACGTTTATTTTAGATCATATGTATATTATCATATATAAACATAAAGGCAGTAGTTGGTTTCTGAAGGTGTGCAGCTGAAAAATGAATTTAATAATTTAAAAATAATATTTATTAACATTAATTTTAGATTATTATATGTGTATATATATATATATTTTTTATATATATATATATATATATATATATATATTTTTAAAAAATAAATCTATATTATTGATATATTAAGGCAGTATTTGTTTTGTGTCTTTTTCACCTGATATTTGCGAGGTCCCACCGCTGCCATCCAGATGCCCATGCTCACATCTTCTCCCTGTGAAATCATGCAGAAAACACTGTTAATATCTACTGTATACAATACATCATCTAAATGAATTTGACAGAGATGCCCTTTTAGCATCATTTCTCTAGGTTCACATCTGATTCTGCAAGCATTGACTTCGAGAGAGCTCCGCGTATGAACAGAGGCTGCTAATGGAGTCACACATGCCTTTTTCAATTATCATGGATTTCTGATTATCATGATTTAGTTGCATGCTGGGTAATTCTAAAAAGCAATCCCTTTGTATTTTGAAGAAGGTCATCATCACCTGGTACGCTTTCAGATGCTGTGCGTTGCTGGCCAGCCACTCCACCAGATCCCGGGACGCCACATATCCCGATCCGCAGGCGAAGGCCGGATACGCAGGACTCGCATACTCCAGTTCCTGCCACTTCCCCACTCGATCCACAGCCCAGTTCTGCCGGAAACTGAACAACACAACTCAGTAATATCTCACACACACACATTATAAATGTGTTTACTGTCACTTTTGATCAATTTAATGCATCCCTGCTGAATAAAAGTATTAATTAGTAACGTAATTAATAAATATACACAGCTCACTCACTTGCCCCACCACAGGCCGGTGTGTGTGATGGTGTGTGTGAGGCGCTCCGTCTTCAGCAGGACGGCGTCCACGTCGATATAACAATCATCATCAGTCTTGAGAAGCAGCTTGAAGTCAGCGTTTCCCACCGACCTGTGCGAGCGGATACACACACACTTCATGAACACAGATCTGCTTTACTGAAGCCGATTCACAACACAAGACAAACATGATCACCTATGACTGACTGACTGATAAATCCAGCGTTTAATGTTGTTTATGTGTCTATGTGGTGTTTTTAATATGCTTTAAGACAAATTATGTGTAAGTTCATGAGTGGACAGCATTGCTGAGTAAAACTGCAGTGAACCAAATACAGTCTCAAAAACACGGTGGTGTTTCTGACGTCACAAACGTGTGATCGAGTGAGTGAGTGAGTGGAGGCGGAGCTCATTTGCATATTCATAGAACCACACATACTAAATGAGGGTGTCGAGCAGTGTTGGGTGTAACAAATTACTAAGTACTAAGTAATTAGTTACTGTAATTTAATTACTTTTCCCTTGAAAAGGTAAAGTATGGGATTACTCTTTATTTATCTGTAATTTAATTAGTTACTTCTGATGTAATCGAGGTAAATACTGTGTATATATCAATCCGATCTCATAGCGATTCGTATGCATTTTATGAGGTATGTAAATTTTATGACCGCACTCGTACAAATTCGTATGAATTATTGTAAAATATGTATGAAAAAAGTGTGAAATGTCATGAGATCAGACATAAAACAATAGTGGGTTTAACATCAAAATGTATTGTCTGATGTTAAAAAGTATGTTTTTATAATGCAACCTTCTCCACCTTGGTCAGTTTAAGGATAATTCATGCATTTTTATAGGATTTATTTGAAAGAATTAAAACAGATTCATGTCTATCCTTGTATTATTCAGCTGGTTGAGTTTGATATGGGATTTTGAAAGTAATTAGTAATTAAAAGTAATTAAATACTTTTTAGAGAGAGTAATTAGTACAGTAATCTAATTACACTGTTGAAGAGGTAATTAGTAGCTAGTAATTAATTACTTTTTTAGAGTAACTTACCCAACACTGGTGTCGAGTTACATTCAGGATATTTTAAGACATGAAGACATTTAATTTAATTTTTTATTTTAATTTTTTATTTTAAGGCATTTAAAAAAAAATGTAATTACATTTTTTTTAATATATTTTAAGGCATGAAGACATTTAATTTTTGAGGACGCTTGTATGTCATTCTGGTGATCAAAGATGAGCTTTAAGGGTTAAATGATTGACTACAGGTGGACTTTAAATAACTAGCAAAGTTGTACTATAATTTCTGGCTAATATTCAAATCTATACGTGGAGAGCGAGGTCTGAGAGGTGATTGGGTAATGCACTGACCACTTATAAAACTGCAGCAGTTTTAAAGGCACGTTCCTGTAGGTGTCCACCACGTCCACGAACACCATATCTCCGTGTCTGAGGCTCTCGTCCCGCAGCGCTTCGTCCTCCAGCTTCAGCTCATCCGCTCGACGCCGCTGCCGTCCAGCTCGCCCACGCAACAGCTCAGACAACACCTCCACATCTAGATTTTTTTTTACATAAATATGAAGCAGCACAACAGTTTTCAACATTGATAATAATCAGAAATGTTTCTTGAGCGTCAAATCGTCATATTAGAGATCATGTGACACTGAAGACTGGAGTAATGATGCTGAAAATACAGCTTTCCTCACAGGAATAAATTACACTTTACTATTTATTCACATAGAAAAGGTTTATTTTAAATTGTAATAATATTTCACATTTTTTTACTGTATTTTTTAATAAAATAAATGCAGAATTGACGAGATAATTCAATAATCTTACCGAAGCTGCTAAAGTTCTCCTCCATAACAATCAGTGATTGATCATGAAAGCACAAGGCTGATTGACACCGAACACAAACGCTACATACATCAACGCTCAACGTACCGTACACTGAAAACATGAATCCTCCGGCCAGACCCGGGAAGCCCAGAGCGCTCCTGTGAGGCAACGTGCCATCTTCAACCTGACCAAACACAACATGACCTCATCCTGATGGGAAGAAAACTCTAGGATTGAAAGATCCCAAAACCTTCCTGATCTGAGCCAGTAAAACCCTCCAGAACCGCAAAAAATGATTTTCTTACTTAGTATTTTTGTCTTGTTTCCAGTCCAAATATATCAAATTCTTAAATTAAGATGCATTTACTAGATGAGTAAAATGCCATAAGATATCATGTCTTTCTGGGGAAATAAATAAAAACTATGAGAGTTTTTGCTTAAAACATGCAAAATAATCAGCCAATGGGCCAATGGGGTAAGAACTAACCCCATTGGCTGATAATTTTGCTCGTTTTAAGCAACAACTCGCTTCATTTGGATTAAATCCCCCAGAAAACAAGGCACAATATCTTATGGTATTTCACTCATCTACAGTAGTAAATGCATCTTAATGTAAGAATTTGAGATATTTGGACTGGAAACAAGACAAAAATACTAAGTAAGAAAATCATTTTTCTACTATAATGCATTCAAATGAAAGAAGTTGTTGCTCTCACAGATCCAAACTTGAGAACGCCTCCGCCGTTATTCAGACGCACCGCCGAAGTGTTGACCGACATCAGACCGGACGAATCTTGAGCTTCCCACAGGAGCGTTCCCTCGAAGCCCTGCAGATGAAGACCAGAACCACTGACCCCAGAACAGAGAAGTATATCTAATAAGTGATTATAATCAAGGTATTAATCAATATTTCTGCTTTGAAATATCGTCTCAGAGTCATCATCAAACTCTTGTTTATGAGACTTTTCTTTGTTATAGAAGTTCCCAGAAACAAACAAGTTCAATTTAAGACCTTTTAAATGCCACTGAACAAACCTGTGATGGAAATACACATTATATTACATACACTCTTAGAAGAAATGCTTCTATTTAGAACCAGAAATGGTTCCATCCCCCGCTTCATATATGGAACTGCAAAATAGAACCATTTTTTTGGTAAAAGGTTCAATTGGCCAAGTACGGAACCCCAGAGGAACCCTTTTTTAAGAGTGTATAGAACCTTTTAGGGGTTCCAAATATGTAGCGCTGATAGAACTTTTTAAGGTTCTATATAGAACCTTTTCTTCTAAGAGTGCAAAATAGCTCCCGTCTTGTGTTACTTAACTATATCATGTGTTATAAATTAAAAACTCAGCATTTTGAGTTCTTCTGTGAGTTTTTTTTATGTGCTGTTATGCTCGTTTTTTTCGATTTCTAACTATAAAAGCTCACAGAGACAGGCAGTGCAAGTCTCAAAAGTGTTACCAGAAATATATTATGAATCACTGTTTGTGTAATAAAATCAGAATCATTAATTGCTGGTTATTTGACGAACATTGGGTCTAAAGATTATTTTAGCGGTAATGTCAAGCCATAATTATCAAAATTATAACAAATAAAGGCTTGAAATATCTCACTTTGCATGTAATGAGTCTATGTAATATATTAGTTTCAGCTTTTAAGTTGAATTACTGAAATAAAGGAACTTTTGCACCAGATTCTAATTTTTTCAAGTTATGTACATTTTTAAAAACTTTCCAGGGCCTTGAATTTTTTTTTTTCAGATTCACAAACTTTGAAGGATTTCAAGGACCCGTGGGAAAACAGATCCTTCACAGAAAACACCATCAGCTTCTCAAGCACTACTTTATGGGTTTCCTAGGACCACAATCAGAGATCGCACTTATCAAACAATATCTTCATTATCTTTCAAATTCTAAAAAAGATATATAGATAAATAACAATAAATTAATAGAACAAAGTGGTACAAATAAAGTGAAGCACATGCAAAGTATTAATAACTGTGGCAACTTTAGTCTGGAATTGAAAGTGCACTGAAAAAAAAAAAATGCTTTTCTTACTTAATATTTTTTTTCCACATATCAAAACAGTCTTAAATCAGGATGCATTTACTAAAGTAGTAAAATCTTGTTTTTTGGGGATATAAATAAAAATGAAGTGAGTTTTTGCTTAAAACAAGCAAAATTATCAGCCAATGGGGTGAGAAAAATAGCCATTTGCAGATAATTTATATCGTTTTAAGCAACAAATCACTTCATTTTGAGTAATTCCTCCGGAAAACAAGACATATTATCTTATGGTATTTTACTCATCCTGATTTAAGAATCTTTAGATATTTGGACTGGAGACAAGACAAAAATACTAAGTAAGAAAAGCATTTTTGCAGGCATGCCTAGACAAGCAATGTAAAGAGCCATTAACTGTCTGATGCTGCAGAGACGGGCGATTCAGAAATGCTTGATTCTGATTGGTCAGAAAACACTCTGAGGTCACAGAATCCCTGTACAATGATGCTCATGAATGTATCTGAGACACTTTTGTTAATGTAATCACCGTGTAATATACATCCGGTCCATGGATACAAGCTATTATTTTGATGGATGTACATTATATATATATATATTAAACAGGAGACACAGTTATGGCTAATGATGATTTTATACTGGACTGAGACTGAGACATGAATGCCGGTGTGAATGATGACTGAACGCGTCACCTTGGGGAGAATGAACTGCTCCACGGGCTTGTAAAACATCCCACCCACACGTGATCCTGGACTCAGTGTGCTGAAGCGAGCGCTCACCACCGCCTCCTGCACACACACACACACACACACACACAAAGAAAAAAACAGAGCATATTTGCACAGCTGAAAGGGCAACACTCTCTGAATAAACCGACACACACGAGTCAATACGTGATTTCTCCAGACGACACGTCTCACAGCCTCTTCATCACACGCTATGTATTCAGTGTGAGTATTAAGATTACAATGGCAGGCTTTTTGTCTTAAGGCTATTTTATACATCATATATGCACATTAATAAAACTTGCATAATTTAACTGATATAAAAAAGTTTTTACACAAACAAACAAATATGAATGTCATATATATATATATATATATTATTTTAATTAAGATGATCATGTTACATTCTAAAATATAAATATACTTTTATGATCAATGTTCATATTTAACATTTTTCATATGTTCATATTTTGTCATTGCCATTATTACATCACATGAATTTAGAAATTATGCAGGAATAATAACATTTTAGGACTTAATTTTCTTAATTTTCTTTCTTCTTCTATATATATATATATATATATATAAGGGCTGTCCAAAGATTAATTGCAATTATTCGCATGCAAAATAAAAGTTTGTGTTTACATAATATATGTGTGTGTGTGCTGTGTATAATTATTTTGTATATATAAATACACACACATGCATGTATATATTTAAAAAAAATGTGTTATTCATATATAAAATATTTATATTTAAAATAAATTATGAATTTATATATATATATATATATATATTAGTATTTACGTGCAAATAATTAAATATATACAAACATGTGTGTGCATCTATATTTACAAAATAATTATACACAGCACACACAAACATATATTATGTAAACACAAACTTTTGTTTTGGATGCAATTAAATCGCAATAAATCTTTCCACAGACACACACATCCATACGCTTGGAAATCTTGAAATGTTAGTCTCACACTTTATTTTTAATAAGGGTTATGATTTTTTAAAATATAATAATATTTTCATGATAGGTTTTCATATTTTAAGAGTTAACATCTGGGTCTTGGACGAAAGTAAAAAATAAAAAGCATTTTGCAAGCAGAAATTGCCTAAATGATAAAGGCATGATACATTTTTTTTTTAAAAATCAAGTTTTACAGTGACCTTCAAATAACAAAACAATTTAAAGATTGAAATCTCTTAGTTTTATTGAAAATAAACCCCTGGACATAAAAATGTTAATAGTTGAAAAACCCACAACTCAGTTTGAATTGAATTTCTCAGTACGCAAACTCAAACCATTATTATATGACCAGTATAATTATATCAAATATAAGCGTCCATATTGAGGGGCTATAATCCATTAGTGCAGCCGCAGTGTTTATAATCTCGAAATGTCATAGTTTGATCCAACAACAGCAACGAGGAGCCGTGATTTATAAGGTTTATTACTAATACCGCTGTAAGAACTATGGTGAAAAGGCCAAGAACAAACCTGACTTTAAAAGGCTGGAAATGTATGAATAATTCAAAACAAGCTGTGATTATTTTTAATGGGACCACATTACTGGACGTATTGGTAACACACACTCCTGATACGACTTATTGAATCCCGTCCTGTCATTTTCCATGGGTTTCAGACCAGTGTTCTCACATCAGCGGCTCTCCTGTGTCAGTCTGTTGACTTCAACAAATGTATTAAATTGTGGGATTATTTCATCACACAGACCCGCCGACCTCTCGCTCGCCCGACGCGAGATCAGAGAGACTTCACAATCAAAGCGTCAGATTCCAGTCCAGACTTTATTGAATTTGCTCTGCACGCATTTATCTCTCCAGCTTGTCGGAATGAACGATATGTCTTTTGACTTCTGCTTCACGGTACATCTCTAGCACATTTATCAAATAAATGAGTAATGTCTGGCGGGGAATGATGAAAACTCACCTTAAGAAGCCAGCAGGATATTTTAGGTTCCTCCAGTGGCAAGAACTAATTGAGTGACTTTACAAAGTGCAAACCGAGTTTCTAAAAGAGTTTAATGCTAGATGACTGTTCTATGCATATTTTACACGAGACACAAAAATGGGTCACAGGGCTATTCTGATCTGTACAATGATATCTACCGGTACAATGTGAGTCACATGACTAAACTTAAGTCATCGTTTTTCAATACCTCTGTTTTGACAGTCCACACTACAACACAAAAACTGTGTTTGCAGATTTATTCAGATGTGTCGAATTTACGAGGTGGGAAGCTGAGATTACGAGTTGGGAAGTCGTGTTTACGAGGTGGGAAGTCGAGTTTACGAGGTGGGAAGTCGGGTTTGCGAGGTGGGAAGTCGTGTTTACGAGTTGGGAAGTCGTGTTTACGAGGTGGGAAGTCGTGTTTACGAGGTGGGAAGTCGTGTTTACGAGGTGGGAAGTCGTGTTTACGAGGTGGGAAGTCGTGTTTACGAGTTGGGAAGTCGTGTTTACGAGGTGGGAAGTCGTGTTTACGAGGTGGGAAGTCGTGTTTGCGAGGTGGGAAGCCGAGTTTACGAGGTGAGAAGTCGAGTTTACGAGGTGGGAAGTCGTGTTTACGAGTTGGGAAGTCGTGTTTACGAGGTGGGAAGTCGAGTTTACGAGGTGGGAAGTCGTGTTTGCGAGGTGGGAAGCCGAGTTTGCGAGGTGGGAAGTCGTGTTTACGAGGTGGGAAGCCGAGTTTACGAGTTGGGAAGTCGTGTTTACGAGGTGGGAAGTCGAGTTTACGAGGTGGGAAGTCGTGTTTGCGAGGTGGGAAGCCGAGTTTGCGAGGTGGGAAGTCGTGTTTACGAGGTGGGAAGTCGAGTTTACGTGGTGGGAAGCCAATTTACCAGGTGGGAAGTCTGGTTTACGAGTTGGGAAGTCGTGTTTACAAGGTGGGAAGTCGAGTTTACGACTTGGGAAGTTGTGTTTACGAGTTGGGAAGTCGTGTTTGCGAGGTGGGAAGTCGTGTTTGCGAGGTGGGAAGTCGTGTTTGCAAGGTGGGAAGCCGAGTTTACGAGGTGGGAAGTCGTGTTTACGAGGTGGGAAGTCATGTTTACGAGTTGGGAAGTCGTGTTCGCGAGGTGGGAAGCCGAGTTTATGAGGTGGGAAGTCGTGTTTACGAGGTGGGAAGTCGAGTTTACGAGGTGGGAAGTCGTGTTTATGTGGTGGGAAGCCAATTTACCAGGTGGGAAGTCTGGTTTATGAGTTGGGAAGTCGTGTTTACAAGGTGGGAAGTCGAGTTTACGACTTGGGAAGTCGAGTTTACGAGTTGGGAAGTCGTGTTTACGAGTTGGGAAGTCGAGTTTACGACTTGGGAAGTCGTGTTTGCGAGGTGGGAAGTCGTGTTTGCGAGGTGGGAAGTCGTGTTTGCGAGGTGGGAAGCCGTGTTTGCGAGGTGGGAAGCCGTGTTCGCGAGGTGGGAAGTCGAGTTCATGAGGTGGAAAGCCGAGTTTACGAGTTGGGAAGTCGTGTTTGCGAGGTGGGAAGTCGAGTTCATGAGGTGGGAAGTCGAGTTTACGAGGTGGGAAGTCGAGTTTACGAGGTGGGAAGCCGAGTTTGCGAGGTGAGAAGTCGAGTTTACGAGGTGGGAAGTCGAGTTTACGAGGTGGGAAGTCGAGTTTACGACTTGGGAAGTCGTGTTTGCGAGGTGGGAAGTCGTGTTTGCGAGGTGGGAAGTCGTGTTTGCGAGGTGGGAAGCTGTGTTCGCGAGGTGGGAAGTCAAGTTCATGAGGTGGAAAGCCGAGTTTACAAGTTGGGAAGTCGTGTTCGCGAGGTGGGAAGTCGAGTTCATGAGGTGGGAAGCCGAGTTTACGAGTTGGGAAGTCGAGTTTACGAGGTGGGAAGTCAAGTTTACGAGGTGGGAAGTCGAGTTTACGAGGTGGGAAGTCGAGTTCATGAGGTGGGAAGCCGAGTTTGCGAGGTGAGAAGTCGAGTTTACGAGGTGGGAAGTCGAGTTTACGAGGTGGGAAGTCGAGTTTACGACTTGGGAAGTCGTGTTTGCGAGGTGGGAAGTCGTGTTTGCGAGGTGGGAAGTCGTGTTCGCGAGGTGGGAAGCCGTGTTCGCGAGGTGGGAAGTCAAGTTCATGAGGTGGAAAGCCGAGTTTACGAGTTGGGAAGTCGTGTTTGCGAGGTGGGAAGTCGAGTTCATGAGGTGGGAAGCCGAGTTTACGAGGTGGGAAGTCGAGTTTAAGAGGTGGGAAGTCGAGTTTACGAGGTGGGAAGTCGAGTTCACGAGGTGGGAAGTCGAGTTTGCGAGGTGAGAAGTTGAGTTTACGAGGTGGGAAGTCGAGTTTACGAGGTGGGAAGTCGTGTTTGCGAGGTGGGAAGCCGAGTTTACGAGGTGGGAAGTCGTGTTTGCGAGGTGAGAAGTCGAGTTTACGAGGTGGGAAGTCGAGTTCATGAGGTGGGAAGTCGAGTTTACGAGGTGGGAAGTCGTGTTTGCGAGGTGAGAAGTCGAGTTTACGAGGTGGGAAGTCGAGTTTACGAGGTGGGAAGTCGAGTTCATGAGGTGGGAAGCCGAGTTTGCGAGGTGAGAAGTCGAGTTTACGAGGTGGGAAGTCGAGTTTACGAGGTGGGAAGTCGAGTTTACGAGGTGGGAAGTCGAGTTTACGACTTGGGAAGTCGTGTTTGCGAGGTGGGAAGTCGTGTTTGCGAGGTGGGAAGCCGTGTTCGCGAGGTGGGAAGTCAAGTTCATGAGGTGGAAAGCCGAGTTTACGAGTTGGGAAGTCGTGTTTGCGAGGTGGGAAGTCGAGTTCATGAGGTGGGAAGCCGAGTTTACGAGGTAGGAAGTCGAGTTTACGAGGTGGGAAGTCGAGTTCACGAGGTGGGAAGTCGAGTTTGCGAGGTGAGAAGTTGAGTTTACGAGGTGGGAAGTCGAGTTTACGAGGTGGGAAGTCGTGTTTGCGAGGTGGGAAGCCGAGTTTACGAGGTGGGAAGTCGTGTTTGCGAGGTGAGAAGTCGAGTTTACGAGGTGGGAAGTCGAGTTCATGAGGTGGGAAGTCGAGTTTACGAGGTGGGAAGTCGTGTTTGCGAGGTGGGAAGCCGAGTTTACGAGGTGGGAAGTCGAGTTTACGAGGTGGGAAGTCGAGTTTACGAGGTGGGTAGTCGAGTTCACGAGGTGAGAAGTCGAGTTTACGAGGTGGGAAGTCGAGTTTACGAGGTGGGAAGTCGTGTTTGCGAGGTGGGAAGCCGAGTTTACGAGGTGGGAAGTCGTGTTTGCGAGGTGAGAAGTCGAGTTTACGAGGTGGGAAGTCGAGTTTACGAGGTGAGAAGTCGAGTTTACGAGGTGGGAAGTCGTGTTTGCGAGGTGAGAAGTCGAGTTTACGAGGTGGGAAGTCGAGTTTACGAGGTGGGAAGTCGGCACCGTGGAGGCGTTCAAGAGCACTCAACTCGTAACAACGATCTATACGAGATGACATGAACGCAGCGTTATATTCAGGTGACACTGACTCGTACCTCTTGGTCCACCTGGAGCAGCCGGACGGTGACGTTCCCAGTGAACTCGTGTCTCGGGCCGTTGGGAAAGACGCCCAGCTGAGTGATGACCACCGAGTGAAGGACCTTGAAGTCCAGACTGAGCACAGAGACGTCACACGGCACCAGCGCTGAGCCCTCAGGGACACTCAAGATGGACATCTCCTCATCCGACACTGAAAACACACCAGCTGAATCAGTCGAGGGTTAAACGCCTGGAATTACTTCAGCAGGAAAATATTAATCCTTAGAAAAATTAAATGATTGAAAATAATACAAATAATATTAATAGTAATGATGGTTTTATTTGATAATTAATGGATATCATTTTAGTACAATACTTGTTTTATTTGTTAATTTTATTGAATAATGATTTTAATTAAAATATAATTTAATAATAATATTAATAATAACTTATTATCAGTTACATTTTTTGACTAATTTCTCTAAAAATAGTAGTACTATTATTAATGTATTTAAATGTTACTATTAATAATATTGATGTTTTTGTTATTAATATTAATAATAATACATTGTATTAATTTAGCTGTTATATAATTATTGTTATTAATTATAATAAAAATGCATTTAAATTTAAAATATTAATAGTAATAATAATAATTTCTATATTATAAAATTAAATGTTCAAATATATTTTAATTTAAATAATCTCTCTATTAAAAGCAATAATTACCATTATTATTTTTGTTGGTAGGAACAACAATGATAATAATAATAAAATGTATAATAACTATTTCAATTTAAATATAATTAATAATATTAATTATATTCATTACTTTTAATTATTATTGCTTTTAATTTATTATTATTATTATGGCTCATGTTATTATTAGTTCATTTTTAATGTGGGTTGTAGTGAAAAGCATCATCAGGTGTGTATCACACATGTTCCTCCTCATAAGCGTATAAAAGCATCCCAGAATGCACCTGATGAATGCACAGAGTGAACAGACCTTGACCAATCATCCGTTTACCTTTTATGCTCAAAACATATTATGTCTTTTCATAGTTTTGATTAAATGCAAAAACACATCAATTTTATCATGTGACAGCACAATAATTAAACAAATAAGCAGAAGAAGGGTTAAAGACAAAGCCTTATGTGGAGGTGTGTTCACGCGCCGCTGCAGAATAATACACACATCAGCACTTTAAGAGACTCGCTGCTTGCCTTAATTAGAAAGCGGCCATTTATTACCCAGGAGATCAATTGGAAGAACAGAGTCGTTTATGGAGAAACGAGCCGCTCATTCCAGCTCCAGACGCACCGCTTCCTCGTCCTTGAGACCAAAGCCAATTAAAGACGGCGCAGACGAGAGGCAGGAGCACAGATGTGTTGAAAAGCTTTTAGACACACAGGATATTCTCACACATTAGCATAACGCATCACCAATCACCGCTCTGAGACTCTCAAACCGTCTCGCTCTTCAAAACACAGTAAACACACCTGAGAGTCCATCAACTGACCGATCACATCCAGTCAACATTCAGCATTAATATACATGCTGTAATGTTTGAGCTCCAGGAATATGGTTCCATAAGTTGCTACTTTTAAAATTTTATTTCATGTTCCACAAAAAGAAACAAGTTTGGCTTTTCGGAATTTTTCACTTTCAAATTCGAAAAAATGAACATTTTTCAGAGTTTGTGCAGATTTTATAAAGGGTAATTTAAGACCAATAACGGAAATTAATTGAAGGGAACACAATACATCAATATGTTCTCTAAATGTACATTTTTAGGGGGTTAAACGCCTGGAATTACTTCAGCAGGAAAATATTAATCCTTAGAAAATTTAAATAATTGATAATAATACAAATAATATTAATAGTAATGATGGTTTTACTTGATAATTAATGGAAATATTTTTAGTACAATACGTATATTATTTGTTAACTTTATAAAATAATGATTTTAATTAAAATATAATTTAATGATAACTTATTATTCAATTAAATTTTTATTTGACTATTTTCTCTAAAAATAGTAATAGTAATATTATTCATTTATTTAAATATTACTATTATTAATATTGATGTTTTTGTTATTAATATGAATAATAATAAATTGTATTAATTTAGCTGTTAATTATAATAAAAATGCATTTAAATGTAAATATAATACTACTACTACAAATAATAATTTATGTATTATAAAATATATTTTAATTTAAATAATTTCTCTATTAAAAGCAATATTATAATTACCTTATTTTTGTTGGTAGTAACAACGATAATATTAATAAAATAGAAACACTTCAAAGTTTCAGAGTCAGTAACAAATATCTGTTACTTTTTAATTCACTTCACTCGTTTTGCTTAAAACCACTAAAATATGGAAATCATTTTTACTGTTCCTTCTGATCAAACTGCAAAAAAGTGATGTTTTCCCTCATTATTTCAGTTTTTCCCAGCACAAATATCTAAAGATTCCTAAATCAAGATACATTTACTTCAGACGTAAAAAATGACAAAATCTAGTTTTCTGTGAAATTGATCAAAATGACGTGTTTATGCTTAAAACAAGAACAAATATCTGCCAGTGGACTCTAATTTAGAGTTTTTTGCAGATATTTGTTTTTATTTTAAGCATAAACACTTTTTCAAGACTTAATTTTACATTTGTATCTCCTGTAAATGTATCTGAATTTAAAACTTATTTAGATATTTATACTGGAAAACAGGACAAAAATACTGAGGAAATGAAGAGTTCAGATGCAAAAGCCTCTAAGTGCCATTTGAAATTTTCTTCTTTAATGATGATTTTTATCAAGCTTGTATATTTAAGTCCAGTAATTTCACTTAAATGGCAATGATAATTACCTATTAATTGTTATTTAAGTGAAATTACTGAACTTAAATATACAAATTTGATAAAAAATCATCATTAAAGAAGAAAATTTCAAGTGGCATTTAGAGGCTTTTGCATCTGAACTCTTCAAATATACATTATTTGCAACATTTAACGCTATGAATTTCTGCTGTTGTAAGACCATTTTAAGGCCTTAATTTGTGACTTTAACACTCACAGAAAGCCTGTTTTTCAATTTTCCTCACACTGAACATGAATATATATATATATATATATATATATATCATCAAAATGCAGAATGTTATTACTGGATGTTCCAATGAAATCAGCTGGAAGCCAAAACATGCTGACTATTTAGAAGAGAACCCAAGTGCACACTGATTTCAGGCCACATCCTGCGAGGCGTACGTGTGTGTGTGTGTGTGTGTGTGTGTGTGTGTGTAGGGGCTCTATGAAATGAACAGTATAAAAGGGAGGAAACGAGGCAGAAAACGCAGAATGGTAAAGTACAAACTGGAGCAAAGTGCCATTAAAGCCTCCCCAAAGCGCTCTAAATCAGGAACACACAGTATTGAACACTGACCGGTCTCTGTGAGGTTCAGAAGTGTGCAGGAATACGGGTCTTCACGATCCTCTGGAGCGACAGCACAGCCATGTTCGCCCACGATGAACTTCACCATCACCCTTTCACATAGAATAATAAACATCAATACATGATTCTGGAGTAAAATCACTCATTTGTGACATCGACTAGCAAGTGCAACACTACTAAGGGTGTAACGTCAAGTGTAATATATTATAGCTATTTTGGCTATTTTACAGAGGCTTTGATTGTGTCGCATCCAATCAGAATTAAGAGTCAGCACAAGGTTTATACTGTAAGTGTGTTTTTACACAGACAGTGGTGTAAAGTATTACTGTACTTCATTAGCCTGGATGCTAGCCGAGATTAGCCCCGCCCACAACATCTGAGGACGAGAAGTTCGGTCTGGACTTGATCCGTTGTGAAGCAAGTATCCAAAGCTGTCGATTACAATTGCTGTTTTTGTAATTGTGAAAGAGAGTTTATTGTGCACTTATTCTTTGAATGTCCCTATTCTTCAATCTTTTGAGAATTCAATCTCAATTTCTAGGTTTTAAAATGAATTACAACCTTGTCTTAAATTTGTCTTCTGTCTTACTTCATACAAATTATTTTGAGTTTCCTATAAGAAAAATGTATGTTATCGATTTGTTTCTATTATTAGGAAAATTTCATATTCATCAATCTAAGTGGAGTAACTCAAAACCCAACTTTGCTCATTTCAAAACAGCCAATGTATTTTGAGTCTGTAAAATTTTTAAAAACCCGAAAAGCCCAAAGATCTGTATCCCTCCTAAAAGAATTTAATATATGTCTGTGATGCCAACTATCTTTATTTTTTTTCGTGTTTTTTCTTTTTTCTTATTTTTCTTCTTTTTCCATATCATTGTTGTTTCATGTTTTAATATTTTACTTATCAGATGTTATACTTATCAGAAAATGTGTGAAAAAAAAAATGTCAAGAACTCGATATCAAACTCTGTGATTTTAAAAAATAAAATAAATAAAATAAAAATAAAAAAGCTGTTCAGACCAATCAGATTCTTAGGGCGGGGTTTATACGATGATGGACAGATGATCAACCGTAACGGAATCATCGCGTCACCAAAGAGCGCTCGGGTTAAACTCGTTTACAACAAAAATGGCCGCCGCTGGAGAACTGAGATGTGTAGATTCAGCATCGCGTCTGTTATAGAAGATGTCGACAGCACATTCATTTAAAAGAGGAACAGAGAACCGTGATCAAGGCATTTGTCGATCGGAAAGATGTTTCTGCCGTCCTTCCTACGGGATGGACTAGTTGCACCACCACAACGGAAATGGAATTTCCGGTTTGTGTATGGTAGGCTGGAACACTTCCGGTCACTGTCCGTCAATAGCACTCGCTTACTTAACCGACCGTTCAGCGTAGTGTAAAAGAAAAACACGAGTCTTTTCGGTATTAAAACGGCAGGTGTTGTACCGAATTCCGACTCGCGGACAAATCGCGCGCCTCTCATTAATACACGCTGAAGCGAGTTGAACGCACTTCATTTGCCATATCGATTGATTTTTTTTCTCACAGCAAGCACCCAGATCCTGCATGAAAGCTTTGCACTTACAAAAATTAACAGACAGTGAACTAGTGTGGATTAAAAAATGCAAACAAACAAAAACGCATGGGAGATCGATTCAAACTATAAACTTCCACGGGTAAAGGCAAGCCATAATAAAGCTACCGCCTGTCAAAACACAACATTACTGTTAATTTAACAGAACGTAACTTTTGTGTGTAAAACACGCTGTGGTTCATAGGAAAATAGTGTATTATTCTCCCCATTACACATGTATATCATTAAAAATAATATTTAACCTTTTTAATGAAGATAGGCTTAGTTTATAAAACACATGTCTGTATATTGTATATAGGCTAATATAGACTATAGCCTATATGAGGCAAATACCATGCAGTTTTTATGTTTGTTTTGTTTTTGCTTAATTGCATCTTAAAAGTAGAAATAAAACAAATTATAATTGATAATTATAATAATGTGATCATTGACTAAAGCTAAGGATGTAAAGAAACCTTAGACTTTTTTAATATAGTTATTTTCTGGCACATTAGGACCACAAAAACATGATTTATATAATTCATTCTTTTAATTTCACATTTTGCATCCTAGCTGAGAACGTTCTCAGAACTCTGGCTAACATTCCCTACAAGTTTGGTTTAAACTTGTAAAGCCATAAGGTAGCCTACTGTTTAACAGAAAACATTTGAATGTAATGTTGAAATAATGTTTTAAGGATGTTTTAACTTTTTGAGGATGTTTTGGGAATGTTGCTGAGATAACACATTATACAATGTTCTTTTTGGGAAAAAAAAAAAAAACTACCCGCTGAAAACATTAGAACAGAACAACATTTTAAGAAAAATTCCAGCTAGGATTGCTTATGGAAATACATTGTTTTGTGTTCAGGTGCCCTTTTTGTCTGCATCAGTTTATTTCTGCAAATGTATTTCACCCCAAATCGTCAACAAGGCCACTGAAGTGAATGCGAGTGCATTAGCAGGTCGTTGTGTTTCAGACATCCAGTGCAATTAGGCTTTAATTATTTCATTTGACTTATTTATCCGTTATAACCAAGAGACCGTTTCAAGGATTTTGCATTACTTTGCTCTTTCTGAGCACTCAACTAAGTCTTGAGTGTTTTGTAGGCGTGTTGTGTCGACCTTGATTTATTGCAATATTGAGGTTTTATTTTGTTTTTAGAAAATGAATGCGTCATTGCTCTCCTCACACAGGTTTCTTGTTGTCACTGGCATTTCTCTCAGGTGTTGAGGAGTAAAATACTTCAGTACTGATAAACTCAGACACTCCAAGGCCCGGTTTCACAGACAGAGTTTAGATTAAACCAGGATTAGGCTTTAGTTCAGTAAACGCGTCTTAAACTACATTACGGGTGTGCATCTTGAGACAAAACAGTGGCACTGATATATTTTAAGATACACTTTCAGTTAAAACAGATCAAACATGCATTTTAGACTGAGACTTAAGCCTGTAATAAGACTTTTACTCGAGTCAGAATGGGATTGGAGACTTTCAAGTCAAGTCACTTATTTATATAGTGCTTTTTTTTACATTACAGACTGTCTCAAGGCAGCTTCACGGCGATAACATGAAACAAAAAAATACAAACTTTCACGTTTTCACTGTAATGTGTCTGTACTTTTACTCAAATATGGTTTTCAGATACTTTTGAACACTGAACGTTTATTTGTTATTTATTATCTGATCTTTTGCATCGATTTTCAAATAAAAAGAAAATATTCAAGTCAGATTTTCAATTGTGAGTTGTAAAGTATTTCATTCACTGACTGTATTAACCAATAGGCATACTCACATGATTATAAAAATGAAAACATAAATAGAATTACATATTCACATATTTAAAAACATAATTACCAATTATTAAACAAGAACAAATTAAATATTTTTGGACCCCATTGAAGTCCATTATATGGAGAAAATCCTGGAATGTTTTCATCAAAAACCTTCATTTCTTTTCGACTGAAGAAAGAAACACATGGACATCTTGGATGACCCGGGGGTGAGTAAATTATCAGCTAGTTTTTTTTAAAAGTGAACTACTCCTTTAAGCTGGAAATTTCATTGCTAGAATATTGTATGAAGATATATCTGCTTGTGTTTTGGAAAAAAAGTGGATAATACCAACAGAAGTAAAGAGTTTGAAAGAGGAGGTGATAAACTTCATCCTTTTCAAGCAGTGGTGAATTTTTAATTGTTTTGATCATCGGTGTTCTTTTGATTATTGTCTTATGTTGTACACTTTTCATTGTATGCTTGAAATAAAAATAAATAAATTAGAGTTGTGATGATGTGTGCTGGACCGACCGTGTGCTGAAGTGCGGGTGATGTGTGATGTAGCCCAGCCATGTGTCTCTGATGGCCTGCCGGAGCTCATAATGATGCCGAGCCGACAAAACGCCCACCAACACCTCATGCACAGCCTTCTGCTTGTCTAAAAATACAATATTTAACAGAAACACAATAGTCAGCTGATAAGCTCCGACATGAAACGTGTAAAAAGGCTTTCTGGCAGGTTGAAACAGAGAACAGACGAAAGTCTCTGGGCCCTTTGGATCCCCTAATGGTTTGTCACTCATGTCCTATTTCACCATGTGTGACAAACATCAGAGTGAGTGTGTAATGTGCATCTGAGCCGCTGTTGCCAGGTAAATCTCTCGGATACTACCCACATTCTTCTATTTGTACACGCCTTTCAAATCCGATACCAATCACTAATGCAGACTTCATTCATTTCACATCGCAACTCACAGAATTGAACATCAGTGATATTATCAGTCAGTTAATGCAATGCTTATGCTTACTATAATGTGCAATGGTCCATGCATTGAGTATTAAATGTTCTTATGCACTGATTATTCACGTTTTAAACGCAGTCAACATTAAAGTTCTATATGCATTGGATGCTCTATATCATGCATTAAGCAGTAATCGTTTCGTATGAATTGAGCACTATCTCAGCATCATACGAATAAATGCTATACGAGCAAAAAAGTATTCATGTTTGTATGCATCATTAATGTTCTACATGCATTTAGCATTAAGGTTACCTATGCATTAAATATAATATACATTATAGTAAATAGACAGGTTTTAATATGAATAGACCAGTAATGCTCAATGCATATGTATATAGTTAAAAGAAGAAATTGTTCTAAATACAATTTGCAATAGTTTTTTATTTTTACTCATCTTCTATTTTCTGTAAGAATTGAGGCTTAATGTCCAATAAGCAGTGTATGAATTTTTTATGCACTGATCATTCATGTTCTAATCTACATTCATAGAACGTGCATTAAAGATTAATATTTCATACAGTACATTAGATAGATAGATAGATAGATAGATAGATAGATAGATAGATAGATAGATAGATAGATAGATAGATAATTTATACCATCAACTTTCAATTTATGTAACTTATATATATATATATATATATATAACGAGCAATAGTTTGCAGTCAGCATCTGAGTTTATATGAATTATTTTTCTAATAGAATTGAGAATATGCAATTTTTAATATTATTTTATCTTTGTGTTAATTTTCTAAATAACCTGAGCACCAAGTTTCTACATGCATTAATATATCTATATGCACCAGCTTCATAAAAACTGACTCATAAAGACTTGCAAGCATGCATTAATTGTTCTATAAGCTTTTTTATATGAATCCACCTTATGCGTCCAGGATGTGTCGAATGCAGAGGACACACCACACACACTTCACTTCAACACAAACTGCCATGCTTACAAATAACACTGGGAACAGAATAAGAGACAGTCGAGAACTTTCAGCCAGGCTGAGCGGTACCTGCAGAACTGAAGCCCGACAGCAGCGCGGTTCTGTCGGTCCAGCCGAGCCAGTGGAGCAGAACCGCGAGAACACACGCAAACAGCGCCGCCGCGGAGCTTCTCATGGACGGACCGACGCGTGACCGCTCCTCAGACCCGTTACCGAACACACCGGAGCCTCGTCCCGCATCGCGGAGATCTGATGAGTCTCGGACGCGCTCGCGTCATGTCTAACTGCGCGCTGATGACGACACGCTCGGACAACCAATAGGAGTGCAGCGGTTGACGCCCTGAGCCTTCTGGGAAGAGTAGTTTTATTAAAATAAACACTGTAATTCATGTTTTTATTTAAAAAACATGTTTTAAAAATCATTATTATTATCCAATTTAATTTAATATTCAACAATATTACTGATCTGCCTGCACTGACACCGTGTAATAATCACTGAACTGAGCTGGACGATGACATCACGGTTTTCTCCAAATTAATAACTTTCCTATAACAAAAATGAAACATCACTGAACTTACTTAAGCTGGTCTGTGACGCTATTTTCCTCTAGAAACAATCGTTGTTGCATTATTTTCCTGTTATCTCTGTGAAGCTGCTTTAAAACAATCTGTATTGTAAAAAGCTCTATAGAAATAAAGGTGACTTGATTTATTTTATTGCAGGAAAAGAAACACTGAATTGAAGTACAATAGCATAAAAGGAAAGGCAAGAAAGATATGATCATAATTCTTAAGAAACTTGTTATTCTTATTGTGGTCAATGAGATTTTAAAATAAGAGAAATCTTGAGAAACTTGTTTTTGTGAATAAAAAAAATGCACAAAAAATGCACAAAAAATGCACAAAAAATGCACAATGATGAAAGCTGTGATTCAAGTTTCCTGAACTTGCAATGATTGGTACCTCAAGTTAGTGATTGCTTTTTGATTTGGTAAATGATAATTGTAACAAAAACGATAGAAAGGGATCTTATGAGATACAAAGTCAAAATTATAAATATAAAAATTCGAAGTTATGGCATACTTATAATATTAAATATGACGTAAAAAGTACAAAATTCGAGATAAATATTCATTACTGACTTACAAGCCCATGCGGGCAGATAAATAGCTAACTAATGCTCTCGAAATATTCATGTTTTAGTCAGTTTCTGAATTATTTTTTTCGATTGTTAACAAATTTTACAGTTATGCTTTTGTATTTATATGAAAAAAAAACTCTGAATATATATATATAATCTAAATACCAAGATTCTCGTGAATTTCTTTCCTATAATAATTTGTACATATTTTACACAAAAACAATGCAATGCTCTATTACACCGCTAGGTGTCTCCCTCGACCACAACACCACTGTGTGACGTAAGCAGCGCTGTCAACTTAAAGGGAAAGTTCACCCAAAAATGAACAAATCTGTCATCATTTATTCACCCTCAAGTTGTCCAATCCTGTGTGAGTTTCTTTCTGCTGCTGAACACAATGTAAGATATTTTTAATGAATCTTTGTGACCAGACAGTTGACTTCCATAGTAAAATACTATGGAAGTAAATGAGGCCCATTAATGGTTTGATCTTCTTTTGTGTGATCACAGAAACTCATACAGGATTGGAATAACTTTGAGGGTGAGTAAATAACGACAGATGAACCGTCCCTTTAACACAAGTAAGTTATTCTACTTTACAAAATGTGTTATTGTCAGCACAAACGAATCAAATCATCATTCGTACATTGCAAGCACACTGAATACTGAATGCAGACAGTTTTAAAATGTTTATTTATTTGTACACCTGCACAGATCTACACATTCAGACTTCTAAAAGAGAAAAGTGCAGAAAAGCACCAACAAATCCATACATTTAGGCATTGATTCAATTACAAGGTATCTCAAAGTTCTAATATTTAAATAGGGTAATCAGTCCATGCAAGTTATGGTTTTATAATAATAATAATAATAATATTTAAAAGATCATTTACATTTTGGGGTTCGTCTGTACTGCAATTCTGTAGAAATCAGCTGGACTCTCTTGAAACCCAACACACTCATCGAACACGTGGAGCGTTAGCGGAATATAAAAGTAAATGTTTAAGCGTTTTCAACACTGCGTCATTTTTAAATACCAACCCTACACACACACACACACACACACACTTTGTTTCTCTTAATGTAAAGGCTATCTCATGCAACATTAGCATCTCAAATATACATCTGTGCACTTTAAAGAGGATCTTCTCCAGATGCCAGAAGACCCGTCCACCCGACACACACTTTAAAGGGGCTTCTTTAACACACTTACACGAGCAACACCTCAGTCAGGTGCTGTGCATGAAATAGAATAACACTTGGTCTTGTAGAAATTAGCAAAGACTATCGGCTAAAATACAGTGATGTAAAGAAAAACATTTGACATTGTGCTTTTGTTGTTGGTTTTGAATAGGAAAAAGCCTGTGAGATAACAGTGTCGAGGAACACGCCATAGGCACAGTACTTGGCACTCGGAAACACCTTTCTATATGAGCACACACACACACACACACACACACACACACACTCACACACACACACACACACACACACACACACACTCACTCAGACACACACTCTCTCACTCACTTACTCACTCACACACACACTCACACCCACATACACTCTCTTAGACACACACTAACTCACACACACTCACTCACACACTCATCGCACACTCATTCATCCACTCACTCACACACTCAATCTCTCAGGCATGCACTCGCTCACTCGCTTGCTTGCTCACACTCACTCTCTCAGGCACGCACACACACTCACAAGCACACACACACTCACTCTCTCAGACACTCACTCACTCGCGCACACACACTCACACACACACTCTCTCTCTCACTCTCTCTCACTCACTCACACACACACACACTCATTCTCTCTCTCTCTCTCACTCACACACACACACACACACACATACATACACACACTCATTCTCTCTCTCTCTCTCTCTCACTCACTCACCCACTCTCTAGCTCACTTGCTCGCTCACTCACTCACACACACACTCACTCTCTCTCTCTCACTCACTCACCCACTCACTCACTCACTTGCTCGCTCACTCACTCACACACACACTCACTCTCTCTCTCTCTCTCACTCACTCACTCACTCACTCACTCACACACCCACTCTCTCGCTCACTTGCTCGCTCGCTCGCTCACTCTCTCTCTCACTCACTCTCTGACTCACACACCCACTCTCTCGCTCGCTCGCTCACTCACTCTCTCTCTCACTCACTCTCTGACTCACTCACTCACTCACTCACTCACTCACACACCCTCTCTCGCTCACTTGCTCGCTCGCTCACACACTCACTCTCTCTCTCTCACTCACTCTCTCTCTCTCTCTCTCTCTCACTCACTCACTTACACACTCACTCTCTCAGACACACACCTCTCACTCTCACACTCACACTCACACTCACACACACACACACAGGTACACATGCAGGCTCTCCGTTTGGCATTTGAGTCACAGGTCTTGCTGTTTAAATCAGGACAGGCAAAAGGACTGAGGAGCTCTCCATCAAACCCAGAGTGTGTGCGGCCGTCAGAGAGACTGAGGGAAGACGCTTTTAAATCCAATTCAGACTCAGTTTAAATGAACAACACCATGAAATATTAATAACTCATTTTCAGCATTTTTTTGTCAGTTTGTAGTTTGCCAAATAAATACCTCAACCAAGTTTAGTTACATATTTTGTTGGTTTAATTGAACTTCTCCTCTTTCACTTTTGGCCACTGCTGTATCAGTCAGTGATCTGAAGGTTGATTTCCATGAAAAACAGTGAGATTTTCCCGTTCGGAAAACATGTTTGAAGTGTTGCAATTCCCGAAACGACACACTTCAGCTTTAAATATCAAGCGTACGAGTGTCAAGTCTCCAAATAACTATGTGATAAAGAGGAAAATCATGTGATCTCACAGTCTTCGACACAGGAACTCATCCGTCAATCAATCAATCCCACAAATCAGCAGGATTATTAATGGATACTCGGTTTCTCTTCAGTTGCACTAATATTAAAGAGGCTTCCCGTTCTGATCATCACAATGTTATTTGGAAACTGGATAAGATTTGATTCGCAAAAACGCTTGATACAAAATATCTTAAAAAATGTGAATCACTCGAATACAGACGCATGAAGTCAGAAGTTTGGACACATCTGCGCGGATCATTTATTTGCTCAAAAAAATGAAATATTATTACTTACAAATTAAAATAAATGTCAATATGTTTTAAAACGTAATTTATTCATGTTGAATTTTCATGACTTTATCATGACTATTATTCACAAACACAAATAACTATGAAACAACTGGGATTGATGAAGCGATCAAAGCAAAGTCGACTTTTATTTCACTATCAACTCCAAAAGGTTCAATGTTTCAATCAAATTTTGTTTCAATCTTACAATTTACCAACAATTTCGATATTTAATGCATTATGCACAAGCTTTTTGTTGTTGTTTTTTGAGCGTGTCCAAACGTTTGACCAGGCAGTGCGTATCAAACACAGCTTTGTTTAATAAAAAAAGTCTAAATAACATTATAAAACGCCTCACGTCAGGCCTTCACATCCTGAAACGAGGCGAAATGAAACACACACACACACACACACACAATCTCTCTCATCCCATAAGCAGTGAGAAAGGCTGTTCTCTAATTACGAAGCAATAACAAACCTAGTTAACGAGACATGAGACGCTCTGACTGGGTTGCCAGTTAATTGCCCCCCTCCCGACCCCCAGGGGTCACCAGGAGTGATGGAGCATCAGGAGCTCGAGCTCAGACTCCGCTCGGCGTGTAAAGCTCACGGCGGGGCCGGCTCCTCAGAGGATGGTGCAGAAGAACTTCTTCTCCCTGAAGGGGTTTTCCGAGGCCGGGACGGGGACGATGAGCGGGTCCTCTCGTATGTGTGCGTCGCAGTACGCCATCAGATCCGCCGCCGCCTTCGACACCTGACACACACGGACAGAACGCTCATTAGCTGTGGACTCAGCTAATGCTAACAATCAAAACATGCAGTCGAAATTATGAAATATTATTATCATTTAAATCATCTGTTTTCTATGTGAATATATAGTAAAGTGTAATTTATATCATGTGATCAAAGCTGAATTTATCATCATTACTCCAGTCTTCAGTGTCACATGATCCTTCACAAATCACTCTAATAGGAGGATCTGA